TAAATCAAATCAAATAACTAAATCAATAATCAAATCAAAATAAAATAACTATAAACTAAAATCAATCAAAAATCAATAAATCAAATAAAGAATAAAAGGTGAGTTTGGATATACAGGGTTCCTTTGGTTATTTCAGCAACACTTTAAGACAAAAGTATAAAGTAATTGTTATTTTTACTAAAATAAAAGAAATAGGAATTGTATAAACTTTACGAACTGACTTGGACAAGTTAATTTCTCTTTTTCTTATATACATGTTTCTTTCTAAGGTACAGGACTTTAATTAAGGCACTCAACCTCTTTTAGAGTCCAGGGATAACCAATCCTCTATTGAGGCACTGTGCCTTCTTTAAGGTGTGTAAGGAGATCAGGACTCTAATTGAGATACTTGGAGTCCTTTTTGATAATCAATTAACCTTTTCTATCTCAGTTATTCTAAAGTTAATAATTCTTATTACTATTCTAATATGCTGATTTAATTAGCTAATTACAAAAATAGAATAACTGCATAAATTCTAAAACTAATACAATAACTACTAAGTAATAATAAATAATGAATGAATAATAATAAATAATAAAATGTGACAGAAAGAATTATAAAAATCAGAAATAAAAAAAAACTTCTAACAATAGTTACAAACAAAAAATATCATACATGTTACATATAAATGATATGTTATAACATCAACGTATTAAGGAAATTGGCTTTAATTTAATTAGAGACGAGAATATATATAATATATTATCGTATCAATTTTCTCCTCTTGTGCGAAAATTGCTTAGAATTAAACAATCTTTGTGACACAAAAAATATGGCACAAAGTTATTTTTTAATAACTGTTTTCAACTCTAAAATTTTTGTGGATTAATTTCAGAATTATCAAGTATTGCGTATAAAGGGAAATCATTCACTTGAGGTGAACCATTTGTTAAAGGAAAAATAAGTATTGATAGTTGCTACATATAAAAGTTTTACAGAATTTAGAAAAAGAAGTTATTGCATAAATGTAAAATAAATTATAAAAATAATCGAGAATTAAATGCATTATGGAAAAAGTATGCATTCTCAAATAAAGATATGTATAAAATTGAGATTAATAAGAATCATAAGATAGATGAAGTTCGAAGACATTATATTATTTTAAAAAATAAAAATTTGACGTTTTATCTTCACTTATATTCCTCTATAGTCACCTCCTGTACAATCACATCATATAAATCCCCACTTATAAGCACACCTTTCATGAGGACCAATACTTAGTAATACTATATAAAAATCCCTCTATATGGTTACAATAACACCTCTTATTTTTTGTTTCTATGGTCTCGAGGGGTGTGCTTGTAGAGGGGTCCACTGTACATACGTTCGTTAGATACAATATATTGAGAGGATTGATTAATATTGGAGTAAGATAATGAGAGTAAGGAGAATTGTCAACAGAGTTAACGTCATTAGATACAATATATTGAGAAGATTGACCTGATAATGAAGTAAGAGGAGAATGAGAAGAAGTGTAAGGAGAAATATTGCCGGTAGCAATAGGACTAATAAATTTATCTTCATATGATTCTGAGGAGGTTGATTTAATAATGGAATAAGAGGAGAATTATCATTGCTACCAATAGATTCATTTGTATAGATGCGATTTTGGAAATTTTGATTTAATAATGGAGTAAGAGGGAGGATCAAAATTAATATCGGAATTAAAATCTCCAGATACAAGATATCGAGAAGGTTGACCCGATAATGGAGTAAGAGAAGAATAAAGAGAATAATTATTAAGAGAAATGTTGTTATTAGTATCAATAAAATTAATAAATTCATATTCATTTGTATTGACATAATTCTGAGAAGATTGATTATTTAATAATGAAGGAGAATGGGAGAAGTGTAAGTATCATATATTAATTTTATAAAATAGGTAATAAAATTAAGCGTGTTTATATAGATATCCTTAATATTAAAATGATAAGAAAAAATAAAAAATAAAGATTATTATAATAATTCTCTTTTTTCCCCTTCTCTTCTTCTTTCGATCTCATCCATGTATGTAATAACACGAAAAAAACTCTTCTGTTCTCTTTTTTTCACCCATACATTCCAATCATTTAAACATTTAAACATAAATAAAATAAATTTAAATGTATAACATATTTTTCTTGTTCTCATTCTACAGTTAAGGTGATGTCTATTATTGATTCGTATAAATTATAGATTATCCAATAAATTATAATATACTAATTATATTATACTGTATTTCACATAGAACATTAATAAATTATACTTTAAATTATATATAAAAATATGTTGCTGCATAATAAATAGTATAGTACAGTTTATTCGGTGAATTATTTGTGATAGATATGATATTTATGTATAACTAGGAAAACGAACCGTTGTAAGTCCGGACAATACAGTAAATGAAAATTAACGACCGAAGCAAATCTACAGGTTTATGTTTTAATATCTATTATAAAAAATTATACATACATTACTCATAATATTTTATATACATTTAGATTAGAAAAAAAAAAAACGGAAAAAGTTTTCCTGTTTCTATTTATTATTATTAATAATACTTTACACGTAGTGTGAGCAAATATACATAAATACATATGAACAATATATGATAAATAATGTTTCATTCATAATTTTACTTTAAAATTACTTGACATTAGGTTTGGATTTTCTTCATTATTTGGCGTAAGTATAGTCATTTAGTTTTTCGGACTTTTATTTATTTTCACTTTGGCATTTATTAAAGTTTGAATTTTCCGATCTACAATCAACAATAAACTCTTTTTTCGGGAAAATGTTTTTATATAGACAATTTACAGTAAAATAAAATTTTAAATTAGGCTTGCATTGAAAAAAGAAATCAAATTAGAAATTGTAAGTTAATTCACGAGATCCCAGACTATTATATTTTTCGTTTTTTGTATTTGTATACTGTCTTCTTTGTATATTCTTCGCATATTCTTTGCGTATTCTTTGCGTCTTTTTCCTCCTACTATTTGCATTTCATTTACACATTCTGGTCTTTATACGAAATACCACATCTTTGCACTTATAGTCAAGTGACAAAATAGACAATTCCTAATCCAAACAATAAGTAAAAATGAAGGTAACAATTGTTAGCGAAATCTTAGATATATATGAATGCGTAAGTTAGGTAATCCATTATAATTCATTGAAATTGAAACTTTAGCGACATTTATGGAATATGGAAAGATGATGAAAAATATTCTAACGATTTTTATTTTTTTTAAAAAAAAAATCAATAATACTTATATAATTTATATAACATATATCTAAATTTCTAAATTTTCACTACTTTATTCTTCCTGCATATGCATATACATAATATTAAAAAATGGTATATACTGTAGATATAAAACTAAAGCATTTAATCATGTGATAGATAATTATTAACTTAAAATAATTACCTTGGTTTCGTCCTTATCTTGATATAAGGATCCGCGGATTCAGATTTCGTAGTGCTATATAACAAAAAATGTAGACTTCTTTAGAAAAAAGATTGTTATTTCTTAATCATAAATAGCTCCTTATTTTGAAACAAGGTTCTAACTTGCGAAAAGCTGAATATTTTCTTGCTACTTAATTATAAATATATAGTATAATACGAAAATGCGACATTGATTCATTAAAGACCTTCTTCGATGACAACTATTTAATTCACATAAACATTGGAGTTTGTAAATTTTCCTTTATTTGATAACGAAAGTATAAAATGAGAACAATTCTTTCTTTTAAAAATAATAAATGGTCGTTTAAAGATTAATTAATTACAACACCACCCATAAATTTCACGTGATATTTTTAAATGTTATATTGGTCCGAAAATTTATTATTTGTATATAATGAAGACTAAACTTTGATTTTCAATGTCTTTTCGATTTTCAATTTAATTATTAAAGTAATTGATATATAATAGGTATATAATAAATGTAAATAACCGTTGAATATTCTGTTTATTTTTGAAAAATAAATCATATGCACTGTAAGTGAGAAGCAAAATTCTTAAGTTAAAAAATTACTTTATAAAAAGTATGCATTGTCAAATAAATCATTAGTTTAATTAAAAATTAAAATTTGGAAAAGGTTTAAGGTTCATAAAAATAAAAACGAGGATAATCGTTAATTGAGTTAACGTCATCAGATACAATATATTGAGAAGGTTGACCCGATAATGGAGTAATAAAAGAATAAGGAAGAGAAATATTGCTATTAGAATAGTCATGATTTTGGGAGGGATGGTTTGGAGAATAATTTGTGTTAACAATAAATTCATAATTCTGATATATGGGAATAAGAGGGACATTGCTACCTATAGCGATAGGACTAATGGATTCATTTTGATTTTGAAAAGATTGGCTTAATAGTGGAGTAAAAATAGAATATGAAGGAGAATCATTGTTAAAGGATATATTGTTACTTGTAGCAATTTTCTTTCTTTTTTTGTTTGATTTATCTGATTCATCAATGAAACACAGAGATTGGACACGCTTTTTAAAAGAATTTTTGACCTCCTTGGCCAATTTTTTATAATAATTTTTTATTTGTTGTGGCTCCGTTTTCCAAGAAACTGCAGCTAATTTTGAAATATCTTCAAGTTTAAGATTAACTTGAGATTTGTGAATTTCGTTATTAAATTCACGTCTGTAAATCAAAAAGGAATTAGGTGTATGATTTACATTTTTGATATTATTATCTAATTGTTTTTGAACTATTTCCTCAACAGTAACCCGCGGAGGAAATTGAACTTTAATAGTAGGAAGATTCATTTTTTTTTTTTTGATAAAAAAATTTATGGACAGAATCGTTGGAATCATATATACAATTTTTAACGTGTAAATTTGAGTTTTCTTAGGAAGTTCATTCATTGTTACAATAAATATTTATATTATAATATCATGTGGCTACACAACTCGGAAAGTAAAATTTTATTTAGTCAGTTTCAATAAATGTAAAATAAATTATCTGTATCTTTAAAATTTAAACTTAATCTATTAATAAAGTTTATTGGAGCAAGACTCCGTTGGATATAAAAAAAAAACAATCATTATGACTAACGACTTATTATGTTTGTTAAAGCTGTCTCTCCTTTACCTCTATTTAGATCCAATTAGATCCAATGTTTGAGGAAGTTTACTTAGAAGAGTATTTTTTATAGTAATAAATTAAAAATAAACTATTCTAGCATTATAAATAATATTTAATATTTTAAGTTTTTATTAAAATCGTTTATTCTATATTTTTAAAATCGTTTATTCTATATTAACTTCTTTTTAATTTATTATTAATTTCGATCTAGTACTATTTCTTGTTGGGCGACCTTGTGAATTAACAGTTTCTTCTTAAGGTAACATAATTTACTTCAAAGTTTTTTTCTTCTATTAATTAGAATCAGTTAGATTTAATATTTAGTATAAATTTTTATTAGTTTGTAGATATAAAATATAGATATTTAGTGAAATAATATATAAATTAAAGAGGAAATGAAATATTTAAATATATAATCATATAAATAATTCACAAAAATATAAATTAATTAATTAATTATAAATTTTTTTCTGTATATATTATTTTAAAATTATTAATAAATGGAAATAAGATATTACAAAAAAATATTTATTATCAATTTGAATAATTTGAATATAAATTTTTTAAAGTTTGGTTAGCTAAAGAAATAATTAA